GGATAGGAAAGAGAGGGAAGAAAGAGAAAAGGTTTCCCAAAGAGACTCTTGGGAACAAACAAGAGTTTGACAGGAGGAGGCTCAGCTGAGAAGAAGGAAGAGGAAGAAGGGAAAGGAAGAAGAACAGAGAGACTGTTAATGCTTTCGGATTGCAGTTATCAGCTTCCAACTTACTGCTTCAAATATCCAGTTATGATCAATTGGAGGATTCCTGCTACTGAGTTAGCTGAGACAGCTTCAGGAGGCATGGAGGGAAGCCAACTACACATATACACACAAACCCACACTCAAGCATTCCTCCTCCTCCTCCTCCTCCTCCTCCTCCTCCTCCTCCTCCTCCTCCTCCTCCTCCTCCTCCTCCTCCGCCTCCTCCTCCTTCTTCTTCTTCTTCTTCTTCTTCTTCTTCTTCTTCTTCTTCAATTGTCAGTTGTACGTTAGTCAGATGGGAGAGAGCTTCCTATTATGTGAGGTTTTATCCTTAACAGATAATCAGAGTTGGAAGGGTGCTTATAGGTCATCTAGTCCAACCCCCTGACTCCAGCTTAGTGGCATTTAATCAATCAATCCATCAATCAATCAATGATGGCCAAAATAGAGAAAAAAACAGGAAACTATTAGTATTGCAGCAAATCCTGCTTCCAATTCAGGACACAAGACCACGAAGGGTTGGAGAACACAAGTTTATTTGTGCAAAGGTTGAGAGCATTAACATGTCAAATTCTGAAACCTGGCTATTCCCGAGGTGCATCCTAGGACACACAGGGAGGAACGGAGAAGGAAACCACTTGGCTTACGAGAAAGGAAGCGGCCATGATCCCCCTCATTGGTGGCAGCTGGGGAGACTAGTATATAAGAGAGACAGTTAAAACACAGCATTGCCAGAAGCAAAACATGTTTTATTTTGGGCTGAAGTTATCTTGGTTGGCATCTTTCCAACAGACTGTGCCTTGTTTTCTCCTTAAATTTGGTAATTACTTATCCTGGTCCGTTGTGGAAATTTCTTCATTGTAGTTTCTTTGGTTTTTTATTTCACCTCTATCTGCTCATTAAGTTCGGACTGATTAAGTTCAGAACCTGCTGAATACCACGTCTGCTACAAAATAATTCGATCTAGCAGGCTGGACATGCTGCTGGTCCCATCAACCAAAGAGTATCCACTGGCCAGCACTAGAAGATGTGCTTATTCAGCAGTAGCTCCTGGACTAAAGTAGCCTCTGTATTAAAGCTGGTTGCTGCTGTGAAACTAAAACTGAAACTTCTCTTCTCTGCTTGTGTTTTGCATTTGGAATCCAAGTATTGAATTTCTTTAAGTGGAAAATCCCCCATTTGTCTCACTACACTTTCATTATTTTATTTCTAGCTTCTCTTTCAAAGTTATCAAGAGATTTGAGAATTTTACTCATGGGTAAATCCCACTTTCAATTCTCTAGAATTTAATATATAGGCTGCCTGAAGGATGTGGATCAAAGAAATATTATTTTGAATTCTTTTAAATAATTTATATTATGTATAACAAGGGGGGTGGGGTTGGATTGGATGACCAGGAGAGTTCCTTCTTCGCTAAAATGCTTGCTCATAACAGTTATGTTTAAAGACTTGTTTAAGGTGAAGAACATGTAACCACAAATATTTCCTACCTGGATGCTTGCTGTAAGGTTTCCTGTTTCGATAAAATACTTCAACGGCAAGTTCAAAAGGACATTCACCATAAATTGTATTGAAAAAGGAAGTGCTTTGCTCTTCTGACTCCAACTCACCAGAGAGGGATTCAGAATTGCCTGCTTTTGCAAAAGTATAATAAAATTCTTGTATCTCATGACTGTATCTCGTGGTCCTGAAAATTTGTTAAGAATTTGGGATCACCTAAATCTGACACTGCCCATATTCAATAGAATAACCTCTTCTGCTTTACTTCCTCGTAACAGAAAATTGCATGTTTTGTCTCTTTCTTTTTCTCTTCCAGAAAACTCTGACTTAATTACTGAATAAGCCTCTCAAATGTCAACTGCCAATTTCAACCTTATAGCATCTTTTTTTCAGTGCTTTCCTCTCCATGTGTAGCCCATTGCTCTGATTTTCAGGGACAAGTTATGGTTTCCTTATTCACAGGGAGATGACCAACACACTCGGCCACCAGGACACTTAAATGACAATGGGCATCCCCCAAACATTATTAGGTTGTGCCCATATGGCATCTACCCTGGTCGTCATTTTCCTGTGAAAGAACATGACATTCTGCTCCCGTATTTAACTGAAAAAGGATTTGCCTTCCAGGCATGGCTAACTGAGGGATGCAAAGGTTTTCCAGAAGAGAGTTAAGACCTGCCAATTAGCATCGAGTTCTAAGAATCCGATTCAGCCCTGATGGCTTGAGGGCATTCCCTCTGCTGGTTATGACCCAGTTCGTGGATTGGGCCCCAGGTTCCTTTGGCATAGAAAGCTTGCACATGTATGATGGCAGGCCTGGCCCCCAAATTACTCATGATTGGATAGCCAGAGTGCATCCAACCTAAGGAAAGAGTTGGGAGAGATACGATTAGATGGAGGGTTTAGGACAGACCTGTCAAACTGGTAGCCCACAGGCCAGATGCATCACACACAGGCCACACCCACCCACGCCTGTAAAGTTTAAAAAAAATTGCGATATATCACAATACATCACATGACACGATCAAGTTTGAACCCTCTGGCATAGGAGAACTTGTTGCAGCCAACTCATGGTGGCCATCTCTCCACAGGCAACTCACCATGGCCAACTCACCAGGGGACAACGTGCCGTAGATAATTCCATGAGGGACAATTCAATGCAATAAATGTTATCTACCCCTGTTTCTTCAGCATTATTTTCCTTCTTGTCGATGGAAGTAATGTGAAAGAAACAGCGACAGATAACATTTAACGCATGGAGTTATGCAGCACGGAATTGTTCTGCAACGAGTTGTCCCATGGTGAGTTGGATGAGGCTAGATGGCCATGGTGGATTGACATGGCCAAATGGCTGCAGCAAGTTGGCTGTGTCAAGTTGTCCCATGGCAAGTGGGCCACGGAGAAATGGTCATGGTACGTTGGCCAGGAAGAGATGTCTGTGGTGAGTTGGCTGCAGCAAATTGTCTCATTCTGTTAGGTGGATAAGATTGGGTGGGCAAACTCTAGCCCCAGAGCTGATTGGTTTGGCCTTTGCCCCACTTTCAAATATCCTCAGCAAGAGATCACTTCAAAGTTCTAAAAATGTACTGTACAACAGTACAACTGTACGTGCCTAGGCCTTCTTTAAAGTTGGTTAGCTCACAGGGAATGTAAGCTGTCTCCAGTGACCACTTTTCTTTCCTTTCCAGCAGAAAGCCAACTGATGACATTGAGGAGGAAAGTCTTCATTGATGATATGTTGAGGAAGCCTTCATGAGAGGCAACTACAATGCGTCCTCGACCGTAGTATGCAGCTGCCAGGAAGGAGTGGTAGGTATCACTTATGCCAACTGGAAATGCCAAGGCTCCATGGATAAGCAAGGGAGATGGAACCATTTGATTCTGGAGGTCATCACCCTTTACACTGAATCTCTCCACTCCTTTCAGAAGAGTTTGTAAATCCCTTTGAATATCTAATCCATGTCTTTAAAAAAACAACAGTAGTTAATTGGTAATATTTTCCATGAGTAGAGGATATTCATATGAAGGAGTAGGATCCCATTATTGGACCTGTGGCTTCACTAAATTGGACCGTAATATCAATATCAGCACTTGGAGGGAGGAGGGAGAGGATGTTTTTGGTAAGTCATGAGCCTAAGAACCCTTTCTCCCCCAAATTAAAGGCAAGGTGTGCTGACAGAATTTCCTTGGAATAATTGGATGGATGACTTAGATCTTCCATAAAACCAGAATAATCTGTCCTCTTCATGAGCTTTGTTGTACTGCTAACACTGTCTCATTTGTAGAGTATGTTTGCCATTTCTGACAGGGAAAAAAAATGTACATTTTTAAAAAATGAATAAGTTTTATTCAAATAGAATTTAAAGAATCTATACAAATGATTCCAGAATAAATGCATCACATTGGTTTCTGTCAAATGATTAAGGAAAACAATAAGGCTGGATGTATTTTCCTCAGTCCACTCGGTTACACTGGGTGCATGAATCTCGTTTATACAATCCTCGTATGTGATACTGACCAAGTTTTTCCAATTTGAAGGATAAAGACCAATATCCTATTTTGTTATTAATATTAGAATTAGAAAATTCTTAGCAAAATTTCTATCTCTGACTTTACAGCTCCTTAAGTAGCATTCTAGGTTATCTAGCTTGTTTGTTTGTTTGCAGCATGATTCGCAAACTGCTCTTTGTCTTAAAGTCCTAATGTTCAGCCACCAGGCAAGAAACATTTAATTTCTCTTCTGAAATAGGATTTTTCCTCCTATAACCTATGTAGTCTCAGACTAACACATTCCTGGCTACCTGTTTATTTAAGCCTTTTTCTCCTTGTAATCACATCATACATGACTGCACCTCTACCCCCTTATCATTACTCTATTCAAAGGAGAAAATTCTTGTTGCCAGAACCATTGAAAACACAAACTGACTTCCGGTAACCTTGGCATAGCTGATCCTACAACTAATTCTACAACAAGCTTATCGATAGATGTCTATTACTAGTCAAAACAATTCATCATGATGTTGTCCTGATAAAGGAAGCCCCTCCCCTATACACGTGAGCCAGATTGATTACCAAACTCCTCATTTATGTGCAAATTGCTGAAAGTGTCCTTATAAGAATGCACATGTTGAGTAGAACAAATCTTGCACGTTACCAGATGGATGGCATAGGGAACAAAGCTGTTACAGAATCTGGTAGTCCTGCTAGAAACACTTTGAAACCTCCTCCCGGGGGAACCAACAGAAACAAACCATAAAGTCGGAGTGTGGGGGTCTCTATAGTTTTTTTTCAAGGACTGTGCATGCCAGTGAAACAGTACCATAGGGTTTTTAGCAACATATAGTAAGGAACACAAGTAGAAAGGAAGGAATGAACAGGAACAATTACTAAGCTACCTGCAGAAGAGAGAATTATTATATACACAGAAAGAAATGTATTAGCAGGTGCAGATTAAAATCAGGACTCCGGACAGCTCCCAGAAATACCAGCACTTACAGCTGAGTTTTAAAAAGCAAATATTTCCTGGAACATATCATGGCAGCACCGTGTTGTTTTCCTGGCAAGAGGTTGGAAATCATTTTTCACGGTTTGCTTTGTAGCTTTGTGGAAACCTTTGCAAGAAGCAATATTTGGGACTGTCACTAATTCAGGAAGGTGATTTCAAAAATGCTGGGTCAGGAAAAGGGAAGAGTTACGAATATTTTTCCTTTTTCTGCCCTCATTAGAGAAATGCTGTAAGGATTTGCTGAATTCACCTCACATCTTCACTTGAGTGTTTCTGCCAGTCTTTATCAGAAGAAACTTGTGAGGCAATGAGAGAATAATTTTGGCTATATTTGTGAGACTGAGAAAGATAATAATGGCTAAAAGAGAGGTGGCTTTAAAGAATTGAACATTTGCTGACACCGTAAATAGCTGTGCATGTCTCAAAATAGTTCAGTTCCTCTCATTTATTTCCTGAAAAGTTGTACACTCTTTTAGAAGTCGAAGCCCATCTATACAGCCTCTGAAGAGAAATAAGGCACTGTTTTGGCCGTGTCCACATAGCACACCAAGCTAGTGATTAAATTAACCCATTTTCTGTGTTTGTAACAATAGTTTGAAACAAGCGAATTCAGCAGTCTGCATTTTCACAGCCAAAAAGTTTGTATTAACGAAAATTAAACTAAGTTTTGCATGTTATGCAGAAAAAAATGCTAGATTTCTTGCAGACATCATTGTGTTTGTTTTGTGAATGCAACCTTGATCTGGGCAAGGAGGGAATTCTTAAGCATGTTAAGAAACAACAATGAAAAGACACAGGTCCCAAAGTCATTTTTCCAGCATTTTCTGAATGCGATCTATCTTATCCTGATCAATATTTGCAGTGGCTGCTCAGAAGTGCCTGTGTTTGCGATCACATAGCAACAGTCTGCAACCCAGAAATGACTGGGAATGTTGACTCTGCCGTCAGTGATGAAATCATCCCTGTGTATCTGTGTATTTCATATTCAGCCCATTTACACTGTCTAGGGTGACCAAATTGGGACCAATATCAATTAAAATCAAACATTTAAAGTTGCACAATAAAGTTGCATGTTAGTTTTATCCCTCAGGCTGTAAATAGGCAGTGAGGAAGAGGTTGATGACAGAATCCAAGATTCTGGGTACTTCAATCTTTGTGTTCTAAGGTTGGGTGTGCTGTGTGTGGGATGCTTCCATGCATACTGTCACTAGTTCTGGATCTATGGATACAGATAGTCTTCGACTTCTGACCACTTCTTCTTCTTCCTAGCGTATTCCTGCAGGTGTAGGGTCCACTTTTCGGACCATTGAATGCCACTTTTCATCGTCAGCTGAGTCTTCATGGTCACAGGTCCATGGCTTCCTCTCCATGCGTTGCTCATTGCTTTGAACAACTTATGGTTTCTTTATTCACAGGGAGATGACCAACACATTCAGCCACCAGAACACCTAAAATGACAGTGGGCAGCCCTCAAACCTTATTAGGTTGTGCCCATGTAGCATCTACCTTGGTTGTGCTGTCCCAGCCAGTCTATGGGAATTGGATAGTTACTTAGGAATTATGAGCTGTCCCCTTAAGGGAATGCATCATGGTAAATGTAGTTAAGAGGTATCCTGGGAAATGTAGTTCACGTCACGTGGCCACATCTGTAATCCTGATTGGTCACTAAATTGACCCTCGATAAGTTGGGGGAGTTTTCTTCACTTTTGTCACTACTACAAGATATGCAAAGGATTGGTCATTAAAGAAGAACTTCATCACAAATGAGAGTTATGAGGATACCTGATGAACCAATAAATGTACTTTGTTATGGACGTCTTGTTGAGTTATCTATCTG